TTTAGTCAACTTTTTTCTTCAGAAAACATACAAAAAAAGGCACGATGGTTTGAGGTCATTTCTTCAGTCGAGTTCACTTCATCTTTTCAAAAAATAAAAAATCAATAAAAAAGAGAGCACTGAAACAGAGATTTTTAGCATTTGTTCTTCCTCTTGAAGTTTTGGTTCTTAAAGGAAGTTTTGGTTAAAGTTTAAGGTGGAGTTGAGTTGGGTTTCGAAAATTGGATTTCAAAGAAATTTTTAAAAAAGGGTATTGATTACTAGAGTTTCAAAACTTCAATTTACTCTTTTTCTGGACTTGAACGAAGCTGTCAAAGCGCAAATTTGTGGCTGTTTATCGTTGAGTTTGCTGGACTCCAAAAGGCTGTTGAATTCTTTTGTCTTGCTGCATCTAGGTAAGTTTTCCACTTTGTAATTATACCAGCTTGAGTCAATGAACGAAAATCGGTTGTTTTGATTTCCCTATCATGCATTTGATTTGCTTGTTTGTTACTGACGCCACAATCTCTCTTAGGTGTATTTGATATTGCATTGTTAATATGCATTGAACATTTTTCTTAGTTGCATTTTGTATTTGAATGAATTTAAAGTCGGCTTATGTGTAGTAGCTCGAAATATAACACTCATATGGATCAATTTGATATTTATGGTCATTTAAGCATATATCATTTTTTGTTAAACCATTTGTTAGTCTTGAATGAGGTTGAAGTTTTGTTTAATTATTTTGTAGATTTAGTTATAATTCAAGCAGAAGGTTATCATGGTACTCTATGTATGGAGTTAGTAAATTGGAGGTGCCAAAAGCTGTCATTACTGAGTACATGGCTATAGTTTGCATATCTGGCCACTAGTTGGTTATATCAGTAAAATCTAAAGCTAAGGATTGGAATTGAAGTCGTTGGGTGTAAAAAAAAAAGGTTTAAGCTGGAGATTAGCTGTGCCTTGTTTAGGATAGTTTATTGCTTTCTGCATATATTAGAATGTATTATGTCCGTTATCATCTTTGAGAATTGTAATTGAGGTGACCAGAACTACAACTCCAATTTATATTCATCTATATTTGATTCTAGTTGTATATAAAAGTCTGGACCTGTGTTAGTGACCCATTTGAGGTTTAGCAGTAGTTCTCTCTGTCACTGCTCTTTGGATTTGTCCCAGTCTTTTGTTCATTGGAGCAGCTGAGGCCAAAATTCTTCAATTTTGGAATGGCCCATATGTATCAGTTCATAGATTCCATGCTAACTCAAATAAAAGCAATTTCAGTTGTGTTTGGGAGTATGACTTCACTTTGGATAGGAGTCTGCCAATTGGGTTCGAAGAGTGAATGGTCTTGAGGCCCAATATTTTTATTTAAGTTCATTTGGACTCACTGCCGTTCACATGCGAGTTTCCAAATTGGGCCTTCTATTTTGGGCCCATTCGCAGTTCTTATTTGATTCATCGATTCCATAAGATCAAAGAAAACCTTTTTGCCCAACACAAAGATCTGTCTGCTCTGAAATATTTCAAATAATTCTATGGATATCATGGCCAATGCAAACAAAAGAGTTAAGAAAATATTTAATTTGGAAAACATAGAGGAAAAAGAGTATCTTGAAGACAGATTATTTTTTCAGACATAATCTTACAACTTATAAAGAAAATTGACGAATTTGTGTTTACCAACACTGGAAAATACAAAAGGCAACACAAAATACTACACCTCCCGAGCTTTTTCATGCATGTGGTCATTCGAGGTTCTTAGTCTGTCATTCTACAACCTGCAATTTCATGCTTTACTTCAAAGTAGCCTTAAATAATTCTTCATCCACTAAAGACAATGTTGGAAGCCCTCTGTTTGAAAACTTGAAAACTTATGAGTCTCTCTTGTCACCAGGCTGCACCACATATTTATTAGTTAAAATAAGAACGTAATATTAATCAAGTACCTTTAATACTAAAGGCAGATCTACAACCTACTAACTCCTAAATTCTAGATTCGGTCTCTATCTTTAATTTATAATTTTGAGAAAAGGAAAGAAAACCTGATCAGGGATATGGCGGGAGGAAGGAGAAGCAGAATTATTGGTGAAGTCCACTGCCCAGCTACGCCCCAAAATCTTCTTACAACGAAAACATTTAAATTTTTAGGTATATAAAGATCTAGTAACTGAAAACTCAAAAAGTCAGTTTTCAAATGTTTAGAAGATACATAAACATATGCGCCGAGATAGAGAAGGAAAAACTGAAGACCTACTACAATCAGTCGAGATTCAAATTCGTAGTATGCAACTGTTATAACTCAAAATAAAAAGAGAAATACTCAGCTTTATTTCATTTATAAGCCAGGATTCTCTATATTTAGTCATTTACAGGCAAGAAATAGAAAATACCCATTTTCCATTAAGAATTTCAATATCTTTTACCACTTTCGATAGATCACAGAATAGAAACCCACAAGCATCTCACAAGTCTCTTAGAATCTACAGAAAGAGGAACCTGTTTTGTAACAGAGAGTAGTTCACCCAAAAAGAGAAGAAAGAAAACTCACTTTACATTTTCTTTTTCTTTATGGTCACACAAATTAGCCAAAACAGGTAGCTGCATCTTTAATCTGCGACAAAATATAGGAGCAGTGAGTTTAAGAGAGGAATTTAACTCAATTGACCCTCATTTTTATGCGTGCGTATATTAATCCTTCATTTTATCTATATGTTGCTCAAGAAAAACAGATATATCTTTAATTTGTTTGGAATAAAGTTGAGAGACAACTAAACTTGACAAGTCAAGGTAGGAGACATGCATGTATTTTAGCTGCTTAGTGGGAAAGCGGACTCACAAAGTAAGACTTCTTTGCTATGTTTCTTTCGGCTAAAAAAAGTGAGAGAGAGAGAGAGAGAGAGAGAAAGAGAGAACTGTTAAGAGCCACTTATTACATTAGGTTTCTGGTGGCTTCAAAAGTTTTTTCCTGGAAAGTTAGTGTTAATAATTTTTAGCAACTTTGGTTAATCGGAAAAGGACCTAAAATGCCCTTTTACTATATGAAATAGGACAGGCTAGCCCTCCGTTAAAAGTTGGTCTTTATTCTGCCCTTGCCATCAACAAATGGGCTCGTATATGCCCTCCATCACTAACGAAAGACTCATAAAGCCACGTGGAATATATGTGAGGGCAAGTTAGACCTAGTTTGAATTATACAGGGGCATATATGAGTCAGTTATAATAGTCATTTCTCAAACACTTCACAACTCCATATCAGTTTACTTAAACACCTATTTAGCAATACCAAAATAATTATCACAGCAAATAAACTAAGTCATAGACACAAACATTCAAATGAATGGCAATGACTTCATTAAATCCTAGTAGCTCAAAGGGGTCGAATCATAACAAAAGACAATGTCGGAATGTTCTAGTAGCTCAAATGGGTCGAATAGGAGGCGTCATTACGGACTTACTGCCAATTATTTCATGGCATGGACACCTTTACATGCTAGGAGAAGGTTTTTCAAGTGCCCGAAGCATGAGGTAAGTAAATATTTTGATGGGTTCTTTTAATTATTCCGATTTGCTTGTAAATTTATTTTATTTATTTTTAGTTTTTAGGATGAAAAATATTTCTATTGGGAATGTCAAAATGAAGAGCTTCCTCCTAGAATTTCAAATCTCATATGCAATTTAAAGAAGGAAAAGGAAGCTCCAATCTGTGAAAGAAATACTCTCCAAAGGAAAATTTGATCTTGAGAATGTTACGATGCTCGTCGATCATGGAGGAATAAAAATTTTGGAATTGAAAAGAAATGATCTAATGAAGAAAGTGACCTATTTAGAGTACTCAGTTGTGTTTGATGCTAAATTTCAGAAGAAGATGTAAATTTTCATGTGTGATATTGGAATGTCTTGTTATGTTCTTTGGATTAGTGCGAAATGATATGTAATGCTAGTGTTATTGTGGCTTAATTATTGTCTTTTATTATGTAATGAAGCTTTATATTTTTATAGTACAAGGATTTAATAAAGTCATTACCGTTCATTTGTTGTGTCTATGATTGAGTTTATTTGCTATGATAATTAGTTAGGTGTTGTCAACTAGGTGTCTAAGTAAACTGATATGGAGTGGTGAAGTGTTTGAGAAATGACTATTATAACTGACTCATATATGCTCCTGTACAATTCGAACTAGGTCTAACTTGCCCTCACATATATTGCACGTGGCTTTATGAGTCTTACGTTAGTGATGAAGGGCATATACGAGCCCATTTATTGACGGCAAGGGCAGAATAGAGACCAACTTTTAACGGAGGGCTAACCTGTCCTATTTCATATAGTAAAAGGGCATTTTAGGCCCTTTTCCGTTGGTTAATTTATGGGGTTGGATGCTACATTTAGAAACTCCAATCTCAGTTTTTTCCAATAAATCGCAAGTTTATCTAAGAATCAAGCTTCAATGTCTTTGTAGTTTGTGCACCTTAGTGAAAAAAATTTCATAGACGCCTTTTAACAGATAACCACATGTATTAGTTTTGGTAAGCTCACATTGATATCTTTTTGTTGGTTCGTCATTAAGTTTGTACCCACAAAAAAAAAAGCTATCTCCCAACTAATGAAAATCGAGCTTAAGTTTTCTCCATTCACTGAACAATTGATAATTTTTTTAATACATAGCGATGTTTGATTTATCCAATGACTCCAATCCCAGCTCCCTAGATTGGATGTCATTCAGCTTTTCTTTTCTAAATGGAGAATTCTTTCCTATTAAAATAAAATATTAAGAGGGAAAAGGATATTCAAAATCTTACAGACTGAATTGAAAAGGAAAATAAAGCAGCACAAATTAGAATTTTATAGGCAAATGAAGATTCTATATAATAGAATAAATGTTTACATGCTTACCAAGAAAGAATAAACGAAAACTAAGAACTCAGAAATTTCCTCTTTTTCCCTTTACATGATTTCTGGTTGTATCTCGCTGATCAGGATGCATGTATGTTTTGAGAGTGAATCCATAAATGTTCTGCATGTACACAACGACACAAACATGGAATAACAGATCAAGCAAATCCAAAAAAGAAAGGTATGAAAACCCAGAGGACTAATTTATTAAACACGACAAACAAAATGAGATACTTGTTGGATCAGCATAAGCGCAATAGAGAAGACCAATGAATATAGAAACTGATCTAGCTAGAAGAGAATAAAACTGATGAAAAAAAGAAAAACAAAGATAATATGAGAATAAAGGTAAGTAAAGAAATGCAGAAACATGAAGAAAGTAATTGATACTGATACAGGTTGTTACCTTAACTTAGTTAGTAGAGTTTACCTTATGAAAGAGCGAGTGTGAATTCGTAATAAGGATCCAAAAAGATGGATGAGGCGAACTTTATTTGAAATCTCAAATATCACCGACCTAATAGTGTACCACACATTATTCACTAATAGCAATCAGTTTCTCATGTAGTTACTTGTAAGGGCAATTCCCCGAGTGTATCAGTAGCCATGTTTATACAGGTTGGAAGGAGAAGTAATGAATCATATTGATATAAATATAATTAATTTAAGGGAATTCTTTTCGAATGACTTCCTCATAAACTATATTGTAGGTAGAATGATCATCTTTATCCTCTGCCGTTGGTGGGCGTATCTGTATCTTTATATTTTTTGAACTCTTTGCTCTAGATAAAGCGACATAGAGTTGACCATGAGAGAATACTGGTTCACGTAAATAAATACCAACAAAATCTAATGTCTGACCTTGAGCTTTGTTAATTGTCATAGCAAAATATAATCGAAGTGGAAATTGTGTTCTTTTGAAAGAAACGGGTAGCTTTTCATCTTGTGATGTTAAGAGTGGTATTTTCGGAATGAATACATGTGTATTTTTGAAATCACCACTTGCAATAGTAGCACTTATTACATGTGACTTAAAGTCGTGACATATTAACCTTGTACCATTACATAATCCGTCACAAGGATTTAAATTTCGCAATAATAAAACGGGACAATTTTTTTAAAGTTAATTTGTAAGGTGGCAAATTAGGAGGATTTAATGTGTGCAGAAAATCTTCAAATTAGCATTGGTCACTTGGTTCTGTAGTTTCATCAATTGCAGTATATATTTTAGCATTGTTAGGAAGTTGATGTATAAGCATGTCATTTATTTCATCAAAAAAAATCATTTTTTGTAGTTAAGATAACATGGGAAGTCATAGAAGATGGATTAGAAAAGAATGTAAGTAGATTCGGATAAGTAACATTGAATAATTAATTTAAAGATTGTGTTTCAGTGGTAAAAGGAATGATAAAATTACGTGGAATTTCAATTTTGTTCGAGTTGTTAGTTTCTTCTTTTCCATTTTCAATTCTCGTTAAATACTCACAAAAAGCAGGATCTTCTTTTGCACGCATATTTTCTGATAAGCACAACTTTTCAAGATCATTCCAAATATCAGAATATAGTAAAATTTCACAAATAAAGTCTTCTTTTTTTTCACTACGAACAACGGGAAGTGTTTGCCGAAAGTCTCCACCAAAAACTACAACTTTCCACCAAAGAGTATATTCGTATTCATGAGATCTTTTAAAAGAGTATAGAAAGCTTCAATCATTTTCCCTTTTGCCATTGAAACTTCATCCCAGATAATTAACTTTGAATCTTGAATTAGAGTTGCTAATGCTGTTTGTTTACTAATATTACATGTAAAATTCTCATCAATGTCTATAGGAATTTTGAAGCGCGAATGAGCAGTTCGTCCTCCAGGTAGAATTGAAGCTGCAACACCAGAACTTGCAGTTGCTAAAGCTATAAAACCTTTTGATCTTATATTAGCTAACAAAGCTCGATACAAGAATGTTTTTCCCGTTCCTCCGGGACCATCAATGAAATATGCTCTCGGTTTATCAGAATATACTCTATCAAGAATAATATTATATGCTCTTCTTTGTTCAGAGTTTAATTTCTTTTCTATGAGTAAATCTTCTTCACTTACTATTATATTTTTCTCAAACTGAACATCTTTTGCCTCGTTAGCTGGTGAAGGAAGTACAATAATTTCAGAAGTAAATTTGAATTCGTATATATTGTGTCCCATTGAATGTAAGACTTCATTAATATAATTCAAAACTAAATGTCGAATCTCTTTTGTTCCCAAATTTGGAATTCTCTTGAAATCGTGAGACATAGGTTCTTCAAATTTTTCCCATAGTTCTCTTGGATTTGCAGGATTGCAGTAAACTAATAATGTATCAAATAAGCGTCTTAAACTATAAGGCATTTGATAACTCACAGCTTCAGACATACAGTCAATTAAATTGTTATCACAATGTAATAAGTTTCGCTTTTCTGCAGTTTCCCTAAATGAATCACAACATTTTCCATTGACGTTGCAAAGGTCTGCATATAATTTAGGTCCCCTTACATTCATTAAAAGTAACTTTAGATAGTATCTTTCTCCTTCGGTTGGATGACACGTTACAATTCTTCCAATAGCAGTACCTCGTTGTCGACGTGACAACATTTTGTCAGTTGGTGACCATACAAAATACTCTGGGAACTCTTTATATAATAAGTTTAGAGCTTTAGCGTCTTTATTGGTACTGTACATTACAAAAAATTCTGTTAACATTGTCATCCTTGTCATTGGATCATTTACAATTTGATGTATATTTTGGGTACTTTTAAAGGATACAAATTATTGTCTCTCAAGGTATAACTGAAGTTGCATCACACTTGGAGTCATTTCACTTATAGGAAAAGCAAATAGACGCCATGCAGCCTCTGATGGAGAGACCCATCTAGCTGATTGATATTCTTTTATTTCATCTATATGTACATTTGTATTATTACCATGCAAATGTACCTTTCGGGGTAGGGGTAAGGTCTGCGTACATATTACCCTCCCCAGACCCCACTTGTGAGATTATACTGGGTTGTTGTTGTTGTTGTTGTTGTTATAGTATTATTGCCATGCACAGAAAATGCAATTTTGTCATGACCTTTACAGATGTATTTATAAAGATATTTGACAACTTTAATGTCAGAACATATTTCAACTTAATATGGCAATTGAATTCTTAAGTAAAAATGGATTGTAAGGAACAACCCAAGAATTATCAATATTGTGTCCTCTAACTTCTACAGGTATCTCTATTTGTCGTCTTCTGTATATAGGATATGAATTTTTTCCTTTCGTTGTATGTTCTGCAAGTTCTTTAGGATATTTAAACATACAGTGATCTTTTTTCATGTAAGAATTGGAAGGATTTAAATAGCCACAAGGTCCATGAATCATATGTTTAGTCACAAGTGAATATAAAGAGGAATCTAAATTGCGATCAGGCAATTCAGCACAAACAAATTTATCCTAAGCCTCTGGTGTTAATAGTTTATATCTATCTGCAAGTATAATAAGGAAATGAGCATGTGGAAGTCCACGTTTTTGAAATTCTATGGGGAAAATAAAAGCTACAACCTTTCCAAAAATATTTTTTTTAATATATCTATTTTAAGTTCCTCTACTTTTGCTCTAAATACTCGGCTGATTAGATCAGGCTTATTTTGAACTTCTTCAGATGTTAATAAATATTTTTTAATTTCAGGCCAAGAAGGATTGCACGTCATTGTTAAGAATATGTCGGGTTTTCCATAACGTTGTACCAATGCAATAGCATACATATATCATCTACACATATCTCTTGGGCCTCTAATAAAACTAATAGGAAGAATATTGTTTTTCCAATATTTGAGGCATCTCTTTCTCCCTGTCTTAACAAATCAAGAATCCCTTGTAGTACTGCAGTTCTGAATAAATCTTGGTTAAAGGAAAATAAATCTAGTCTTTGAGTCTCAAGTTTTATGTATTGGTCAACAATGTATTGTTGAAATACCCTTCCAGAATGTAAAGTTTCATTTGATTCATTCTCTCTTATTTGAATCTTGTAATAATAATATTCATGGCAAGAAACCGTTTCTCTTTTCCTTTTGCCTTTTGATAAAACTTCAGATTCCATATCAAGTAGCCTATCAATTGAAGTCATGTTCAATATACTTGGCAGTTGTTCACATTCGCAGTAAATTTGGTGATTTGAATGACTATATGTTTTCTTAATTTTTTTAATAGCACAATGCCATCTATTTTGACCATATGGGAATATCAATGGATATTGTAATGGGTCATAGCATCCATAATAATAATTTACCAACTGACTTCTGTTACTATGAGTGTATATTCGAATATGCGGAGTGGAAATTCTGTTATTTGTTTGTTCTTCTATCCAATTTGCCCCAACTTCGGATGAAGTAGGTAAGTTGTATGTTGTTTGGTCTAAACCAGAATCAGATTTAAGTGCAATATAGAAGTCAGATAATTCTGGAATATCTGTTAATGACTTTAGAAAAGTAGAATATGGATTAACCTTTAGTATTTTCATCAATTTCTTGACAACTGCTTCATTAAACTTGTCTAATAAGCTCATTTGATTCTTTATCTTATTTTCGTTATCATAAAAGTACAATTGTAAATTTTTTGCTCTTTTTCCGGAAGGAATTAAATCTTTAATAAAGTGATACATTTGTCCTTAAACTTTAAATGTATATATACCACGATTTATCTTTGCTAATACTCTATCATAATTAACACCAAGGGAGGTGAATGCAAACATATTATTATAGGTTCTACTATAATTACGAAAATGTTTAGATTCTGCAATGTTGCCTAAATATAAATTCTGCAACTATACAGGCATTTGATGAAAAGTCAATTTTATTGATCCGCTACCACAACAGAATTTTGGTGGTTCACATTGGAACCTTTTTGCTCCACAAAATTTACAATCCGGAACTTCTTTTAAATGTACATAATTTTTTAGCAACAAGTCATCATTCTGTAATTCGACAGTAATGTGATACTATGAGATTGTTATATTTTTGGCAGATAGATACATACCTCTATGTGCAATAGCTGCTGGAGTTGAAGAAATTCCTGCATTACATGTACCTGAAGTTGATCCTAACATTGCAGTGTTTAAAGTTTACGCATGTATAACTAATCAGTAAAGTAATTTGTATAGTGAGAACATTTATAGTACTATTTCTGGACGCTTACCTACTTCAAAGATGGACAAGCAATCAATCATATTATTTCCTTTATCGATAATAACTGGCATATTTGTAGCTTCAGAAGCATGACCTAACAATTGAAAGAAACTAAAAAGTCACTTTAATGATTGTGGATCGATGTATTCATCATTATATACTTATATATGCGCATACAACATTGTTTGCATATATAATGTCTCTGAGAAGTTAGAGAACAATATACTTTTCTACCTTCTTCTGAATCTAACGGGCAATCACCAACTGTAAGAGCACTCTGTCTTTGAGATTGAGTACCAGTTTCCATTAAGGACAGTGTATTACTTGAATGAGGATTAAGTCGCCGCCTTTTTGATTTAGCTCTCTTGGCTTGCAGTTTCAGCAAAAATGATTGTTTCCTTTCAGGTGACATTTGTGCATATCTAGTGCGACGTCGTAGATTTCTATCACGTCGTCGTTGTTCCTTGGCCTCTTCATCTCGACGCGATGCAACATCTTCGTTTGTGGACATTTCTGTTCCAAACAGTTAATTATTTTGTAAGAATAATATTCTACCTAAAATATTCACTAAATATGTAAGCACTTGTTCAATAACTCTATCTCTCCTTCTAGTGGAAACATCTTTTTCCCTTAACAAAAATCAAAAAAAGAAAAAACTTGCTAATTGAGAGAGAGAGAGAGGCAGAGAGTGAGAGAAAGAGAGAGAGAGCCAAGAAGTTGCTAATGAGAATACAGAGGAAACCAAAAAGAACAATGACTAAACTAACCAACTAAAGGTGGCAATATAGTTAATCCAAAAAATCTAGTAAAATAAACAAACATACAGTGGAGTAACTTAATACTATGTTGTTTTCTTAGGTAGATAGCATAAAAAGATCAAGTAAACATGTACCTTTCCATCTTTCTCTAATTCTCCATAATCCCTATTTTAAGAGAAAATTCAGTCTCTTCTATTATTTTTGGTTGTAGAGTTTGGAGTAGAAGGACATAAGACAAGTAGTTTGGATAGATTAAGATATATTGGTGGAAACACTTTCAGTGAACAGGACCAAGTATTTTGCTAATATAATTAGACTACCAAAATAATCCCGAGTTCCTATTTGTATCATCTCCCTGTTGTGAGTTCCTATTTGTATCATCTCCCTGTCGTGAGTTCTCAAACCTTTTCTATAACATTACTTTTTCTTAATAAATTTTAAAAAGTTTCGTTTATCATGGGACACTAAGCATCGGAATTCAAAAAGTTCATTTTTTTGTCTCAGGTAAATAGGTTCATATCACACTTAACATTATAGGAACATATATCGGGAACAGAAAAGAAAAAATAACAACAAAGTCTGACCTTCTTTTAATACTTGCTTATTTGCTAGCCACATAAATTGAAGTAACAGATAAAAAAGAGAAAAACATAAGAACTGATAGGATTATACATGTAAAGTAACAACATCTCTGAAAATTTTTCCTATTAGAAAGAATGGATCTCAAAGTTAGCCAGCAGTTCTTAACATATAGAATCGTTTGTTTTTTTGGAAGAAATGCAAAATCCCTAAACATCTTACACAAAAATAAAGTAACCAACATCGTCTAATCATTTTGTTCTATGAGCTTTAGGCAACAAATTGTGGAAGCGATCACAGTATAGCATTATTGGATATTCTTTAGCAGAATCGTCAGCAAGAATGGCATGTAATGATTAATTTACTTTAAATATGCTAACTTTTGTTTACAAAAGTAATATACTAATGTAATATTTTAACTATAGGATGTGAGTATAGTTCAATGTTATCTTGCCTAGATACACCCATAAAGAAATCCAACAGAGAGGAAATAATAGGAAAAATATAAGGGAGAGGAAGGGGGAGCAAATGACTTAACGAAATTAGAAAAGCAAAGAATCAAAGTTTGTTGATGCATTCCTCTTGAGAATGAAGGAGAAGAGCACCATTTAACTAGTTCTTTACAATTGGATCAATGGTGATAATTATGCACCTAAGTATCAATTTCAAACCATGCGTGAGTAAATCAAACCACATGCAAGTAGAGAATCCGACAATAAATTACCCAAAAAAATAATCTAACATACACACACCAAAAAACCGAATTTAGTAAATACCCAACAAATTGTGACTACAAAAATGTGAAATAAATAAATAAAAAAAATGTGAAAATTTGCTTTACTGAGATCGAACATTTAGCTTCATCAACAAAAATCACAATATGTAAGCCCAAAAGGTAAAGAGAAATCAGGCCACCATCACATACCATCATAGAATCTGACATTGAAAGGGTGAAGAAGAAAATAGACGATGACATGCAACTAAAGAATATATCAGTGGTCGAAAAAAACAAACTAAAACAATCAGCTAGATGAAACAGAGAAGGATAGACAGGGATACGGAGAACCAGTACCGGCAGAAAACAAAGATAAATATAATCAATCAAAGCCCAAGACCCAATCACAAAAATACTAAAAATGCTAATACCAGGTAAATTCCAGCTTTGATTTACAAAATCAATGGTAGAATTCTTACAAGAATAGAAGAAGATAAACTGGGTATGACTGGCCTTGAGCAATACCTACGGAGAAATTGAGAAGAAAATGGTTACCAGGAAATGGTTTGGTAAATTATCAATAAGGAATCATAAATGGGTTGCTAAAAGGGAGAAGTGATACACGTATCCATAGGAGAGAGCAATGAACAGTCAGTCACTAATGAGATAGTGCCAAGTTTATAGTACAATTTACAATACCATTAGTACAAGTTCTCATTGCTGTGTTCGTCCATCTTGACCATTTATATATATTAGTAATATATATATA